AAAGACTACCAGTCTTTTGGGGGCATATTGGTAGCTCTAGAATTGAATTTTAGGGACCCCCTGAAACCTCAAGTATTATTCCTGCCCATTTCATCCATGACAAGTTTACCGCTGCACAACCTGGCTTGGCAGTTGTTCGACATTAAAAAGTCATTTCGACAGAGATTCAACGGCTACAAAGTAAAAGGCTGTTTGTTAATGGCTGATGAAGTGGGATTTGTTGGAAGTGGAACTTGCTCGACTGACGTTCAATCTGTTTTTTGCCAATGTTCGTCTGTATGAAGCAATAAACTAATTGACTATTTGATCAACTGGCTAATTTAAGCGGGCCGACTCTGGCGTAGTTGTAGAAAACATCATTCGTTTATACGCAGAAAATGTGTCTTTAATTCTTTAACGTGCCACATAAACAGGCTGATGGCGTAGGGATTTGCAATCCGATGGAACCGGCTCTTGCAAGCATCTTCATGATCGTAACAGCAAAATGCTTTACCGGTGTAACGGTGAATACTACTGATGGGGGAATGGGAGTAGTATGTTTTCTCGTAAACTCACTTCGCGTCTCTTGAAAAGTGAGATCTATTACGGAATTTGTGGAGTCGCATTTGCTTGCATTTGAGTAACTGTCAATAAATATCGAGGATAGTCCAGGAAGACGAGTTCAAGGAGAAGATGGATATTCAGTTTTTGTAAACAAGATGCATATGAGAGTTTTGTTGCCTTGTTCGATAGTCTGTAACTGTTCGTTTGGCGTTTTCTCATAAGCATCTCCGGTAGTTGCCAAAGGCTTTCTAACGTGAGTGATACGCTCGTCTTTGCCAGTGCTAATCAGACATATTGGAATTTGTTGGAAGCTTGAATGCGACGCAGCTGTGTGAGGAACTGGTTATCAGATCTACACTATTTCTGGACGTTCTGTATACACGCAAAGAAGATGGAGTGGTTAAACGCAGTGTCCATTAAAAAAAACCCTTCTAATCTGAGAAGCACACTGACTTGTCTGGTTCTAATCTGTTAAAGTGCAGTTGCACAGTTGTGAAAGCATTGTTGACCAGACCACGTGGAATCCGCACGTGTGGCTTTATGTATCATGAGGCAGAAATTCTATGGCTCCCAGCAGATGACCACTGCGGTTCATGAAGCAACATAGTTTAATGAAAACAACAAAAGTAAAGTGCTAGACGATGGCTTCCTTTCAAAGGAGATAATCCAGTGATCCGAATCATCACGCGCCAAGCCGCAGCACTGAAACAGATGTACAACTGGAAACATCAGAGATTCAGCTGGGTTCCAGATGAGTCTCTCGTAAAACCAAATTAGTTTGCAACAGAGTGTATTTCGCCAAATGTACAACTTGTTAGGACGACGGGTGGTCAGTCCGACACGTGGAGGTGGGGTACCATTGCCTCCTGTCAGAGAACAGAAACTAACTGGCAACAACTTGCATTTCGAACAGCAATTCACAATTAACTGCAGCGCAGTTTATTTTAGCGGCACTAGGAGATTTCACATACCCATTAGGGAGGAGTATGTTCCAATCTCAGGAAAGCAGAATGCTTCAATCCCTAACCCGTGAGGCGCTATCAGACGAAAGGTCCCAGCTTGATCTATCAGCCGACAACTGCTGTTGACACATTCCTTTGTGAACCCTGAACCATTTTTCACCATCTTACTTTGTCGCACAAAGCCACATGTTTTAAAGGTGGTGGGGACGATTACTACCAGTGGACCAAAACCTAGTGTTTGCGTTCAGAAACACTTGTCTGTTCATTTTGGACTGTCGTTGATTTTATGGACGAAACTGTTCTGTGTCGCCTTAACCGCTTTTTCTGAGTGTTATCCAGTATTTATCAGCTTTTCCACGTTTAGCGCTTAGTTAGCTTAGTTAGTCTACACGAAATGCATGTATGTATGTGCAAGTGTCCATCTGATGTATGTGTTGCTAACAATACGAGAAACATATAACTGCTTTGAATATGAATTTAGCCTGAGTTGCACTCTCCTGTTGTCAATGCAACTGGGATTCTCGCTGCCTTACCACACGTCGTTGTCCAGATTTAGCACCCTTTCTATACCTAGATGCAACGTCACCAGAAGGAAGCACGAGGGCTGGGATACTACCACGTTGCCCAAGCCTAAAGAGAGGAAGTCGAGAGGTCGGGTTCGAACCACGGACCTTCCGGTCAAACTATCCGAGTTCTAGCCACTGAGCCATCTCTCAACCGAGCGCAGGTCCTCACTCACGGTTTTGCCAAGCAAACGGATTTAACCAATTTTGACCCCTGGTATACGTGCTGCTATCAAAATGGTGTAATTGAGTTTGACGGAAGTTTTTCGTACATTCCAAAACTCAGCTGTAGAGTTAAAAAAGAGAAAGAGAGTGTTATATCTGCTGATTCGTCAATCTGTGGTGTCTGCTACTGACCCGCTCCAGTGCCTAATGCTGGAGAAAAAATAGATTCACAGAAGGGAACACAACCGCTATATTCCGAACAAACGAGTGCGAGAGCGTGAATGCGTGCGAGTGCGAGAGCAAAAGTTACAACGGCCACACGCTATTTAAAGGGGACTTTCTGGCATTGATCCAGGCTTTTTGATAGGCGTTAGTGAATACCCATCAACATCGATTGTGCCTCTGTGAAAAACCTGAGCGCTGATCACATTCGGTCGTGCTTCTGTGGCGTGCAAGAACACTCATCAGGTTTTGCTGAATCGATTGAATGGTTGGCTGGCCTGGACGTTTGCCGGCCTTCCTGTTGATTTTTTTGTTTGTGGGTAGGTTTCCGGGCGTCCTGAGGTTGCTTTCAGGAATCGGACCTTCCTGATAAAGAGACTTGTTAGGCTGTGATGAACGAGAATGGGGCAGTAGGTTTCCGGGCGTCCTGAGGTTGCTTTCAGGAATCGGACCTTCCTGATAAAGAGACTTGTTAGGCTGTGATGAACGAGAAACTATTCTGAATGCATCCCAAGCGTAATTTTGATTCGTACGGAGCAGTACGATGTAGCAACATGTGTATGTCCTTCAAAGCTAACGGGTTTTCACCCTTAACTGCAGTTACGTACACTCCTTTATTCAGGAGTTACAGTTTCTTTGTTGTATGTAAGAGGAATAACTAGCTCCGAACAAGAAATTTTTGATTAAAAATGTGCACTTGCGAGTTTCTACCGCTTCTAGTGTGAGTAAAAAGAATATAGCGGAAACAAGCTGAAAACCTTGACATAAAGTACGACTAATTTTAAGGATGTCATTTTCCTACAAAGCCGATTGGTATCCAGCATGTGTCAGCTTTTATCAAAGTCCCGACACTCTGGTGCTAGGGGCTTGAGAGCTTCAGGGTAATGCCACACTCAAGCGTACAACTGGCAACAACTGGGTGAAAATAAAGGCTCTAGAGGTCTTACGGAAGGAATGGGGACCTTACATTTCCAATTGGTCATCATGCAGACAGATAAAACTTAATGAATTTTCTTTCTTTCTCTCCTCTCCTTCTGTACGGTGGCCAGCCGCCCCTAGTAACCGAACAGCACATCATTTGGACGGATGTGTCACGTGCAGGACGGACACCAAACGAAGGCGTGCCCTGATTGGTCAGAATGCCAGCCAATCCAAGTCAAGCACCCTTGACTCTACGCTTCTCGCCTCCTCACGGAGATCCTGGCACGACCTTCTGGAACAATGTGACTACCGTACAGATATAGATGTAATGATTCTCCTTTCGTTTCCATAAAGGGCCGTATAGAGCTGCCGTGCCTTTTGGTATACCATAGTGGGCGGAGCAGGGAGCCAAGGGACCGATAAAGAGTTGCACTACCGTACATCAAGAAACAACACCCTCACGAATGCAAATTTTTCTGTAAAATAGAATTTATTATCCAATAGCTACAAAAAACAAACACGAATTTTTATCGATTCATTTCGGCACCGACAGTCCGACCGAGTTTGTCAGTTGAATCTCACCAGGTGCTCTTCAAAACTTTTATACTTCCCAATGCTTCGCTGACGATTATTCGGTGATGATGTACGTCTACAGCGATTGCCATAGGATGCCAGACAGCGTTTGTCGATTTTCCAGCCACCGGTTTTAACGAGCCCAAAGTGAGGTAGCCATCGGAATATCCCACTCTATGGTACGTTTCTTCCTGTATGTTCAACCGTGTGCCTTGATTAGATAAAAGTTGAATGGGGCAAGATTGAATACGATGATTAGCGTGATCCGCGACCAAAAGTTCATTATTCCATGGCGAATAGGAGATGCCGTGTGGCTGAAGCACCTGTGGAAAGATGAAACACTGGATGAATGACATACAGTATTTTGTTGTCGGTGCATTAAATAGACTCGTCTGACCATCCAGGCAAGAGCGAACCTGTGTTAGGGGGCCACGATGCAAGCTGAAGCACTCAATAGCTTGTGTTCTATAGCAGAAGTCGTTATAGAAATTGAGGGCACCGTTTTTAACCCCCCATGGTGGCTCTCTCACCACTTTTGTTCACTGCTTTATGGAATGTGGTTTCACGCTACCACCAGTAATTACCTAATTACCTCTATCGCACCAATTACACTATTCCCTGTCAGGATTAAGGAAGTTACGTCATTCCGCGGATTAACTCAGTATTCACCACCTTACGAGGAGCCACTGGCAGCGTGCTACGTCTGCGGACCTTTAAAAAATTTCCACACGGCTTGCTTCCACCTTGCGATAACGCCTCCAAATTTTGCTTGGCTCTCTGTCTGCTATTTGAGGGAGAGGATGAGCAAAATGCTTCGGACTGCACAAAGCATCCGAAAAAGGTAGTCGACTGTATTTTGAAAGCAAAAATGGCTTTGTTACAGGGTCGTTTGCACATCATATAAGTCCACATATTGTCCACAGTAAAGTAAAATTATTCTACTCACGTTAATTCAGAATAAAGTACAGAAAATTTGGTTAAAGCTACAACTGTCTCAGAACAACGCGTATGAAATGTTAACTTGCCTGTCCTGCCCCTGTGCCATAGTCACCAGTTGATCCAACACAAACTCCGGAGTTCAAAGAATACATTTTCACACTTGGAGCTGCATAATCCGTTACCGCCAGATATCCACTTCCGACTTCGACAAAATCAATATAATATGGCTCGGAAACAGTTCCTCTGGGTGCGTCTTGGATACCGGAAGGCATCATGCTAATCCTCCTCAGTGCGGTTTTTTGATTACTTCGAGGATCAAACAGGGCAATGTGTCGACGTTTACTATCCAACACGCCGACCATGCCCATTCCAAACCCGATTCCCCTTGGGTGGCTGAAACGATCCTGACTGAGTGTGCCCTGTGCTGTCCCATCCAGCGAAAAGAGTCTCACCTAAGGCAGAACAAGACAGACGCGTACAGAAAATGACGGATAAAAGATGCTCGTGCGGACTCGAATTGTCCAAGTGAGTGGTGAGTAAGCGATAGGGTAGGACTGCACAAAACCGCGGATAGCTCATCATCATTTCAGACACATCAGGAGCACACGAGATAGGTTTTTTCTCTAACTTCTAAATACTGCTCCTAATCTGGGGAATTCTGTTGATAGAGCAAGTTTACCTACACATGTCCTGACTTAATATACTTCAGTGTTCTTGTTACTCCTGTGACAAGTGTAAAAAAAACGGTGTACCGCAGATTATAAAAGGACTACAGGACAAACACCTCGTTTATGTAAAGTAAACATGGGATCCCATTCTTCAACTCAGGATTAAAGGAATACTGGTGTTGGTTTTCCTGGATTCTTCATGACAATCTCTGAAAAAATGTGACACGAAATCGCTGGTGCGCGCAGTACAACAAAAACTTGCGTTGGGTTAGAAAACGACGTTTTAACCAGGAAGGTCATTATTCTACCTTGTGATGCTTGTTGATGTGACATTGTATACGTTTGTGAAACTGGGTTAACGTTCAAAACCTTTCACAACGGTTGGTGACCAGGTGAAAGTCTGTTTATTTGAGTGAATGATTTCCTAATCCGTGAATTCCTTAACTGTGGCAACCATAGTCCGATCAGGCGACTGGTTACTTCCTCGCTACTTCAGGTTATTCACAGGCGAGACAGAGTTTTGTGCGTGCGTCCAACCCGGCCCGAGTAGCTGTGAAAAAAATACGGGGCCAACAGCAGACAAAATAAATTTGTACCATAGTTTGTCACGCGTTAAACTAGATTGTCCTAGTTCAACGCGTAGGGGAAAGTAGCGCAGCTTAAAGATGTCCGGGAAACACCACGGGCTTTTATGGTCGAACGAATATCAGAAATATATTTGCCACATTATGCCTATCAGAATAAACCAGGAAAAATTTAACCCTGCATAGGCGACGGAACATAGTTCAGATGTCAAAACTGCAGGATAGTAAACGTTTTCTTCCCTGAGTCAGCGTAGCTTCTCATATCTATCTATCTATCTATCTATCTAACTACCTATCTATCTATCTATCTATCTAT